GATCATTCATTAGTTTAAATAAAATAGGGTGAATACTGTTCTTATATAGTTAGCTTTAAATATAGCAATATTTATTTTTCTAAATTGTCAGGTCTGGTAACTAGCCCTTCACTTCTATTAGGAGTTGACTCTAAACTTGCATGCCTTCAATAGCTAGTTGTAAATCAGCAATCTTTTTCATTATTTTTTAAAAATAGTCTTTTTGTCAATAGCGTACTATATCAATTTTTTTATCTCTATCCCTTGTCTTCCCTACTATCTGTATCCCTTTAAGTCACCATAACAACCTTGGTAGCTAGCTTTTGAATCTTAATTACTTCTTATCTGACGACTTTATCCCATTTTAGCGCGCCCTCACGATATTTACCTTTTTTTTCTTTCGATATTCTATGCTGTCGACTTTTTGGTTGATAATAACCATTTATCTAATGTTTAATTTACATACTATACTCTTTTTCACATTTTTTTTATAAGGTTGTACGAGGGCTTCCAAAACCTTACTGTGACTCGACAGCATCCCATCGCTTTGCCCCTCTCTCTGCTCACCGCTTCTTCGACCACCGAAAAGACCACGCGTATAGTCGCTGAGACGGATACTTCAAATGCTTCTGGCCCCACGCCTAATGTCACTCAACAGACCGTTTGTCTACCTGCCACTTCTGAAGTTGGCAGGTTCACCGTGCAGCGGACCGCAGGCTCTGTTTCAGAAACACCTAACACTGGGGGACAAATGAAATCGGCTCAAGCCAAACCGGGCACCAGCCTGAAGCCTCAAGCCCTACCGCCCCACTACCAGCAACTTCAACATCAATGCCAACAGCCACAACCCCAGCAGCAACAACAGCATTACTCTTTAACAAGTCAGTTGCCTTCTGCTCTACGTCGAGCCTTGGTACAAGTAGCTCGATCTAAGGCAGGAACTGTTTCGATTGGACAGGCTGCTGCAATGGCTGGCAGTGGCGGCACCGGTGGCAGCTCCGGCGGGGCTGGTAGTCCTACATTGCCTACCTCACCTGTCACAACGACACCACTCACCAACGTAAGCATTGGGGCAACTGCCTCGACGGCCACTTCTTCAGCTGCTGGAACCTCTGGCAACAGTGTTACAGCCACCCCATCCGTCTCGTCGGCGCTAGCAGCAATGACTCCATCTACATCAGCAGCAATGGCAATTGTTCCATTCACCGCAAATTCAGGTCAGGCCCGGCTGATGGCGCCAACTGGTGGCCGAGGTGAGAACTGATTTTAGTAAAAGATCTATATTGGAAAGGATCGATAACGAAATTAAGGAGTAGGAAAGTCTAAATAGGACTAAAGATATGACATAATTGGTTTTATTATTACAGCCAAATTTCTAGCAGATACGCTAAAAATCTTGAGTATGGATGGAGGGGTAATTCGTAGACACTATAGGCTGGAAGCTAAGTAAATAAGGAAATGCTTTATTTAACAAATGCTTTTAAATACAAACTAACTTAGGCCTCAATTTTACATATCGCTGATTATTAAGCTTTATACATGAATATCATATCGGTTGGGCAACTGCGCTGATATTGATAAATCATCGAGATTTTAGAGCAATCAGCATAGTGCAATCCTGCATCTTAAATCTCGTCTGCTAATGAAGTAGGAATCATTTGTTATATTTCAAGTTCATTTAATGAAGCAAAGTGATTAATACGATTTGGTTACAGGAATTTCCAACTTAAAATTGGGCGCATATTTTAACCACTTCCTATTCAGCTCGTTATACCATCAGAAAGCTACAATCATTTAAAAAATTTTTTTCGAATGCCACTTGAAATATTTACTTGGGAGTAAAATAGGATTATCTTGGTTGCCACATTTATAGCTAGTTATTCATGATACTAGTAACATTTGTATCGGCTGGCTTTTTGGTGGACTACATAATTTAAAGAAAATGCTATGTCTGCGCTTAATTAGAATTTACAACGTATCGCAGACATTTTTCTCTTATCTCTTTATATATATATATACATATATATATGTGTGTATGTGTGTTGGAAGAAGGAAAGATGAGTTATTTAATATGTAAAAAAATAAATAATAATTGAATTTTCCAAGAATGAGTTGAATAGGCCTAACTCATTTCTGTCTCTCAAAAGGTATTA